ATAGTGATAGTCAATTTACTTTCATCCCAGCTACTTTTTCTTTTGGGTCATTCATCTGAAGTATCACCTGTATCTTCTTATGTGAAAGATTCCTGTAAAATTCAGGTAAACCCCTAAAGATAAAATCACCCTTATTTTATGATGAGAATGGCCAACAGTCACGTGGATGACACACACATACTTATAAGACTAGCATTGTTATATTGTGTATATGGTGTAACAAATGGAGAGTGCTTCTCAATCCAATCAAGACATGGGAATTTGCAATTCACAGGAAAACATTAGAGATATTAAACTTACACTATACAACACCCCCATCACCTTTAAAACAAATGCCAAATTTGTAAGTATCACGGTAAACTCACGGCTATCATGGACCACACATTATAACAATTTTCTCAAGAAAACAAACATTAGACTGGCATTCTCAGCTGAAACAGGGGTATGAACAAAGGCTGTAACAGCCACTCAACAATTTAAACCTTACATCAAACCTCTATATGAATATGGATTCCCCATTATATGTAATATGTCCAACACATTATACAAAAATATCCAACACAACAGCTCACAGCTATCAAAACAGTATTCCATCTCCCAAAATACACCCCACAAACTTATCTCAACAACCTCACTGACCTACCTCTCATTAAGGATTGCATTAACACTCTAGTCCAAAAATACTACAACAAAGCCCAGAATCGAAACAGCAAAACAAGAACTGTTCCCATTCTAGCAGCCACACCTTCTACAAAGCAATCATACATCTCTTCGCTCAATTATATTAACAGTGTTTAGCATACATGTATTAATCAACTGTTTCCTTTTCAGTTCCACATCTCGGGCATGGGTCAGGTAGATTATTTGATGCCTGATCCATGAAAGCAGGTTTCTTTGGGCACTCTGATTTCCCCTGCATCAACATTTTTCAGGGCATAGGATTATTATATCCCAGTTCCCCTGAAAAAGGCTGTTAATCTTGTAAGTGCACCAGACTAACTTTAATCATAATATCACTTTAGTATTAAAGTTTTTTTCTTTCAAATCGACCAATCTCTTAGAAAACTATTCAAACAGAATCGTGCTATAAAATGACGGTCTCTTCATGGCTTTCCCGGCAGGATTGGGTTGGCATCTTCTTCATCTCCTCGTGTCTCTCAACAATCCACTCTATGTGTTAAAATCAAATTAAGCCCAGTGGCTCTATCAAAATTCGTTTGGCATTAACTTTCTCATTGTGCTGGGTGAAGAGAAAAAAACGTTTCTGACCACCTTGGGTTGTCTTTCACACCCCAAAATCTTTTTTTTTTTGGAGGCTTAACAGATTTTTTTAATCCTAAATTCCTGCCACAAATTTTTGTTTTTGTTCTGGAACAAAAGTTTCTGACCACCCTGGGTTGTCTTTCACACCCCAAGATCTTTTTAAATTCCTGCCACATATTTTTGTTTTTGTTCTGAAACAGATTTTGACAATTTCTTGATTTTTCTTCCAAGGAGAGCTCTTTTTAGCACAGGCACTGTGCTTTGTGACATTAACACTGTTGTTTTTGAGTGTTGAATAAAAACTGTTTCATTTTGTCATATATTGTGTCAAGTGTCTTTCAATTCTCCAAACTGAAAGTTAGAGAATTCAGATTTGTTCCACAAAACGTTTTCTGTTAGATCTCCTGTTATTTTGCAGAACCTATTTCCTCACTCTTATGAGAAATCAGTGCATCTTAGAATACAACAGATATAACCAAGTTTTAGGTTCTTTATGTATAACAATTAGAAAAGTAATACTTTAAAAATAACAGCTTATAATGTATAAATTAGCAAGTTCCTGGTTAAATTATCTGCTTAATATCATTTATTTACTTTCATCTTTCATACACTGTATACATAAAAATATGAAAATCTCACCGACTAACAATTGCCACTTGAGCTCCTAAAGATGCCAACATTGAAGCCATTCCCTTCCCTAACCCTGTGCCTCCACCAGTAATAAATGCTATACGGTCTTTAAATGTCCCTGGGGGTAACATGGGTTTAATACATGGCTCAAAAAACTTTGTTGTTTTTTGCATGTTGCAACTGGCCAAATGAAACCCTCTCTGAAAAAAAGAACTTTTTATGAATGGTTTAAGCATCATAGTCATTTTTTTATTTTTAACACCTTTATTGTTGTATGCCATGCAATGGATAAAATAATTTACATTTCTAAGATTTACAAAACAAAACATAAGAACAAACTGCCTTCATATATATATATATATTCATGGAAAAACAATTTCAATGTCATGAATGTAATATTAAAACTTAAAAATTTGTCTTTCTTAAGAACATAGAAAATAATATAAAATTTAGAAACTACAACTGCTATGGGTTCTTAACAAGAATCTTTACATTACAATCTATTTTCATGTCTGGAATAGTATAATAATACGCTGAACTTTTTTCCCCCACAGAAATAGCCTGTTATGCAAATGACATATTCAAAATTTCATGCAATAGTTTGATTAAGTAAGGTTGTTTAATGCTTTAAACTATTAGAAATTTAAATCTAAATAGAGTAGGGGGCTGACTTGTTTCCAAGAGATATTAACTCAATTGTAAGGGCAACTTTAAATTAGGATTAGACAGTGGAAAGGGCCAGAATAATGAAAAAAAAATATTTTGGGAACAAGTTACAATGTAATTTTTGATGGTAGATTAAACTGTTATTATCGTAATGCTAGAAGTACAAGAAATAAAATGGATGATTTTAGACCATTGGTTGGAACAGAGGATTTTAATATAATTGGAATAACTGAAACCTGGCACTTGTGATAAAAGTAAAATCATTGAATTACGGGGTTATAGGTTTTTTAATAGGGATAGAGTACTAAAGAGGTTAAGGAGTGGATTTTTATGTAAAATGTGTGTTACACCCTGTTCAAGTTAAGGATATCAAAGTTAAAAGCAACAAGGTTGAATCTATTTGGGTTAGGGGTTATATGAGGAGAAAGCTTTTAATTGGAACTTGTTAGATTGCCAGATGAAACTGATGACATTAATAAAAAACTCTGCAGGGAGATAAAGAATTCAACTATTAATGAGGTTATAATTATGGGAGATTTTAATTTTAGCCATACAGCTTGGGAAACATTAAAGTCAAATCAGGTTTTTAGAAACTGTTCAGGATGTTTTTCATCAACTATTGGTTAGGAAAACTACTAGAAACAATCCTATTTTAGATTTGTTTTGACTTTTAATAAAGAAATGGTTGATAGGGTAGAGGTTGGGGAACATCTGGCAGTAAGTGATCAAATCTCAATTAGATTTGATGTTTTGTTGTATATGGAGATAAGGAATAATGAGATCTTGGGTCCAAACTTCACAAAGATAAGACAACGTTTATGTGCTGTGAACTGGGCAACTGAATTAGTTGGAGTATACTGATCCAATACGGTAAAATATAAAAAATAATTTTATAAATATACAGAATAGGTATATTCCTTATATATGAAAACAGATTTGCTCAAAATGTAAAAATAAACAGAACTTCTTCAAATACATTAAGGATAAGCAAAATGTTAGGATGGGAGTAGGGCCTTTGAAAGATGACACCGAAAGGCTAATATTAGATGATTACAGGATGGCAGAGTTATTAAATTCTACATTTTCTTCAGTTTTTATTAATAAAAATTTAAGAAATATTCCTCATCCTGAACAGTTGATAAATGAAAACAAGGTTGAACAAGGTGATCACATTAACTTTACGCTTGTTGATAAAAAATTGGAAACTATAAAGAACCTGGGCCAGATATTTACCCAAGGGTTTGGAAAGAGGTTTAAGGATTAGATATGCGAGTGACTTGTTATTATTTTTTCTAAGTCCTTGAATAGAGAGCAGGTGCCAGAAGAAGTTGGCTAATGTTACTCCTCTTTTCAAGGGAGGTAACACAAAGTGTCCTAATGGTTATAGGCCTATTAGTCTTATATCAGCAGTAGAAAAAGGTTTTGAAAGTCTGATAAAAGATGATTAGTAAAGTAATTTAATAAAGCTTAAACTTTTGTTGGATAGTCAGCATGGTTTCACTCGGGGAAAATCTTGCCGTACTAATCTTTTGACATTCTTTGAAGAGGTTATGGCTTATACAGATGAGAGTACTGGTGTGGATGTGGTATATCTGGATTTTCAGAAAGCATTTGATAATATGCCCTGTAAAAGTCTTATATAAAAAGTTATCTCTTTAGGTGTGGTGGATAGGTTGGCCCACTAGATAAAAAACATATTGGATAAAAGAAAACAGAGGGTTGTCATTTATGGAAATCAGTCAAAATGAATTAATTTTACTTTAGGATTGCCTTCTGATGTAGTGGATGCAGTTAATTTAAGGAAAGCTTGATAAATATTTGAATGATAAGGGCTGATTTTGAGATGTTTTTTAAGGGTTTAATTTAATTTAGTACTGTCCTTTAATGTTATGTTGCAAACAGTTTTGGCACTAGACTAAATCAAGTGAAAAAAAAATGTCAAGTTGTATAAAACTGATGATGACAAAACCTTGTCGAAACGTTGTACATTTGCTGTTATGTTAAACTTATATTAAAGTTTTTCTTCATTACCCATTCAAGCTGTATCCAGCCATTATTTGATGACTGAAGTTTTTGGCATTAAACTATATAAAGTGAAAAAGTAATGTCCAATCACATAAGACTTTCATAACTTTTCCTGAAGTTTTAGCACTAGGCTTATTAACAGTGTCAGGTCATATAAAACTTTGATAACTCTTCCTGGAGTTTTAGCATTAAACTACATCAAGTGAAAAAATAAAGTCCAATCACATAAAACTTTGATAACTCTTCCCAAAGTTTTAGCACTAGGCTCATAAACAATGTCAAGTTATAAAGAACTTTGATAACACTTCCTGATGTTATGGCACTAGGCTTATAAATAATGACAGGTCACATAAAACTTTGATAACTCTTCCTGAAGTTTTAGCACTAGGCTCATAAACAATGTCAAGTTATAAAGAACTTTGATAACACTTCCTGATGTTATGGCACTAGGCTTATAAATAATGACAGGTCACTTAAAACTTTGACAGCTCTTCCTAGAGTTTTGACATACCTAATATCTAAATGATCAATGACTTCTTTCTTAATCATGACATGTTCATTTTGCCAGTAGTGAATCTCTGAATTATGTAATGATTACTTTTTTGGTGCATTTCCAATTGACTTTAGGATATTCTCGGAATTTTGGACTTTTACTCATTAGCAATATTAAATCTTCATTATTAACCATATCAAAATACTAGTGATCATGTGGTCAGTGTATCAAAGTACTAGTGGTCAGTGGTAGAATATATGTAAAACAATGAACTGCATTTAAAGGATAAATGTTGAACAATGTCAGGGCAAATAAACTTTGGCAATTTTTCCTAGAGTTTCAAGTGAAAACAATAACATCAGATCATATACAACTTTGATGACCCGTACTGGAATCTTTAACCCTTTCAAAACAGACACCTGCTACTTCCAGGAGGCCATATGGGAACTTTACATGTGTAACAATATGTTTTGTAACTCTTAAGGTTTCTTAAACTAGGCTACACCAAGTCAGGTCATATAAAATCTTGATGACTCTTCCTGGAAACAACACTGTAATCTAACCCAGCATTTCTCACACTGGGATCTAACCCAGCATTTCTCACACTGGGATCTACAGGTCATGTATGAAATTTCATAAAAATATTTGAGAAAATATAACTTATAGAATAAAAAATATTTTTCATAAAATAAAATTTACATGAATTAAAACATTTAAATGCAGCTTTTCATGTAAATGTAATCTTTTTTCCAAAACAAAAAACACTGATAGACTTGGGGGGTACATGAAAACATTTTGAATTAAAAAGGGGTCCTTGGGTTACTAAAGTTCTAGAACCTCTGACCTAACCCACATAAAATTAAGCACAATACTACTACTTCTTCCAAGTTCTGCATAAGCAGGATCCAACTTTGAGAGAAATTTTGGAAAGGCAATTTTCAACAAAACTCAAGCCAAAAAGGTTAATCTAAACATAAGTTATGACCTATTCACAAAAACTGACAAACTACATCAACAAATAATAAATCTAATCTTCCTTCCACACTACCATTTTTAATATCTACTGAACAGTATGTAATATTACCATAAGATATCTGTTTATGGTGTTTGAAGTGTCCTTTATTTAACAAAAATAAACCTATGTGCATGTAATTTATCTGTCAATAGAATTTGGTGGTTCAACTGTTTAAAGTAATATAATTTTTCTTTCCAAACCAACAAAATTGTAAATTTTCGCCACATTAAAACTAAAAGTAAGGCCCAGACTATTTTTAAATTTGCCATATGTCAGTGTGACAATTTTGTGGAATTTCACTCTCATTAGCTGCCTCGGACTAAGTTACACAAAAAACAACAACAGGTCTCTTCCAGCGAATTCAGGACGACTAGACACTGAACAACTTAATTCTTAATCAGATGCAATTAAATAACTGTACTATTAAAAACCGGTACAAAAAGTTGTAGCAGAAAGGCGATTTTCCTTTTATTTTTACAATCGAACAATTGATAAATTAAATAGTGTTAACCGCCCCTTATTCCGATGACAATGAGTGACCAGAACCTGCAAGTTCGAGGGCTCGCAGACTAAGAATTTGAGAACGGCTGTACTAATTTGTAATTATTTTAAGCATAAATCTAAATTTACTCCGATTTGAGGTTTAATAATTAGTACATTGAACTACTACTAACCTTAGAAATAAAGGTTGTAATACTGTACACAGACTTTTTCATTTCGATTAAAAATCTAATTGAAGCCGTCAAAATACCTGTCGATTCTACAGCTAAAGCAAAAAACCTAAATTATCATTAATAGTGGAGCATTACTGTTAAGAAGGCCTTATAAAAGAGAAAATGCGGTGCCACTAACCTATTTAAACTGAAAAAAACATAAATACATGTTTTTAAATACATAAAATTAGTCTGCTAATTTACCATCAAAAATAATTATAACCGTATTTAGTACTAATAGTGAAGATTTGGTCACAGTAATAATAATAAATTGTTCCGTCCTGTTATAACACAGTGAAATCAGGTTTTATAGCAAAACCATGCATTAAATTTGGTTCTGTTACTAGTAGCAGTATATTATTTGTTTTTACCATGCTTTCAGTTGTTAAAATATTTAAGAGTAAGATTTAGATATTTTCGTTCTTCAAAACATATTCCCATATATATTTGAATAATGGCTGATGTTCTGCTTAGTGATGCGGAGAAGACATTTATAATTCATGGGATTCAGGTGGGTACTTTTTCTTTTAATTTGTATTAATGTATAATTATAGTTTATACTTGAAATTAAATATGAAACACGACCGTACGGTATATACTATTACTACTTAGTCTCAAAGTTCGTACTAAGATTAAGAATAAACGTACCAAAATACAGTCGTAACACTACTACTAATATTTTTTAGGTTTTAATTTTTATGATATTCTGATATTGAGTAAACAGCTTTCACAGATTCGACGATCATACACGTTTTTAAAACTTAACAGATAAACCATTTGTGAACTAAAGTGAAAGGAAAGCAAATATTTCTGAATGTATTGTTTATGGAAGTAAATGGAGAAATGTGGATGCATATTATGTGTTATGTGGCAGAATTTCATCAGCAGTACACTGATGTCGGGTGAAATGAAATATACATTTGACCATGCTCCACATTGTTATTTACACATGCATGTATGCAGGGGGAGTTTGTAGGGGTTCATCTGAACCCCCTATTTTTGTGATGTAAAGAAATTATGTTTATGTAGTTATAGTGCAGCTACTTATGATATTTAACATCTTGTACATAGTCTACATTCTTGTGATAAAGCATTAGCATTTTTTGGCTTGAAATAGTCACATGCAGTGGCTTCTGTTGACAATGTAATGGGAAGTTGTATTACCACTGTCAGGTTTTGTAGGCCAGATTCTTTACACTAGGTGTCTGTGACTTGTTGGCAATAAATTTCAACAATAAACAAACAGCAACACAGTCTATTTGTTTTAAAATAATATATTAGAATAAGTCAAATGTATATACAAACATTCATTACACTGTTGGTTATCACAGTTGTATCCAGAGCTTTAAATAATTGTCTTTTTTTCATCAAAGTTCACACAGGCTGGTTCATTTACTTTAGAACATAATTGACAAATATCTCTGTGTTACTGAAACTCTTTTCCACTGTGCCACTAAGTTCATGTTCATGTGAACGTTCAGTATCTGCTCTCTGCTGGTTGAATAATTATCCGAGGTGTACACAACCTGAAGAAAGACTAAGTGCTCTAGCTTTAATACATGATAATTATGACACTGCTATCAACACTGAAACTGTATGCAAGTTATTTATGGGAAGTACCCCAGAAGAATGGAGCATGCCAACATGTTTTTTTCAGTAATGCATATATATAAGTATATGATAACGAATTATTGAAATAGCTAATATAGTATCATTGTACAGAGTTGTTTATATTAGTAATATAATTTAACAGTTCATAACTACTCTGAATGTAGATAGTATAGTAGTTTACTATAATAAAACTTACATATTTATGCTAATTTAAGTCCAGCTCCCCATGCAGTGTTAACAACAGAATGATGATTTGTTGACTTTTCATTGGATAAACGTTTGTAGCATTAGCATGCTTTGCACAATATGTATTGGCTTTTGATCTCTGAAATTACAAACCCCCTTTCAAACATTCTGTGTACGGGCCTGATTTAAACATTCAGTTTGAGTATAAACATTTACTATTATTTATATTGTTTGTTTCTAGGACTTAAATTAAAAAGAAGTATGATTGAATTATGAAGGTGTGCAAAATGTAAAAGTGGGGATTGGGCCCTTAAAGGATGCTGATATTAAGGTTTTTGTTGAAGATTACGAGATGGCTGAGCTTTTAAAGGTTCTTTTTTTCTTGATCTTATTGTGAGTTTACAATATTCTCTATGGAATTGATAAGATAAAGGCCAATGATTTCCTTGTACTATATTGTGAAAAATAATGCAACAAAAGGACATGTACAGTTTTATTTTTCTAAGAGAGTGATCAGCAGTAGTAGAGGTCAACATTTTCCTAAAAAATAAAGGTTGGGTTTAATTTATTTTACTTCTCTCAAAGGTTGGTGTGTGAAGATATTTTTGAAGGACGAAATGGTTCTTGTTGTCTATATGACATTTTATATATAATTGAAAAATTATAGTTCAAAATGAATGTTATAAATATCATTTAACAACAGTCAAAATAACCTAAGGAACACATTAACAAAATCAACAGATAATTGGCAGTTGATGGTTGTTGAATTCCACTTTAACTTGATTTTTTTTTGTTTCAGGATGACTGCCGTACAGATGGACGAGGTTGTCTTGACTACAGATTGATTGAGTTAGAGACAGATGTTGTTTCAAATTGTAGTGGCTCTGCCCATGTCAGACTAGTAAGCTGTAACAACAATATTTAATGTTTATGGATTCGATGTCTGTAAATACTGCAGACATTAATTACTCAAACCTATACAGCCTTAACAGTCAATAGTAAAGGTTTTAAGGTGTTGTTTAAACTGAATCTTTACTATTTAAATTGCTTTTTACCCAAATGCTCTATTAGAGTTTTGTGCCATTCCTTGCTATCCATGGTTCATGATACAATGCCATCAGATTGCTACTTCCTGAGAAGAGTTAAATATATTTAAAGTGCATAAAAAATTCACTTTAATATTGTGATTATACTTTTGATAGGGGTTTAAATTCTTAAAAAGCTCCTACTTTGTTCTAGTTTCTAGATTGGCAGTCATCATTGGTGGTTAATGCTTGATTTAGACATCGTGCAGTTTTCCCATGGTGTCCTTCCTTTATTGTGTGCTTTACTCTTACATAAAGGAATGAATGAATTAACAGGATCCTCATAAGTTCAAGTTATTATAGATATTCTTAAAGCAATAGGTGGGCTGGTTGGACTTGTGGGATAGTTTTCAGGATAAGGGTTAATTACTTGCTAGAGATAGACTTCACTTAAAGATGCTAGATTTGGACAAGATATAAAGGTATTTATTAAATATATTTTTGTAATGTTGTTTTTTCATTGGTGGTTTTTTAAATTATCTAGTGAAAATAATTCAATGTCCAGTCCACGTATCAACCAACAAATTAATTTATATTCTTCTTTGACACTTCTAGAAGATTGGGCACTTGTTGACAGCTGTAAGTTGTTGTATGCCTATGTTACAAATGAAGTTCAGACCTCTCTACCAATACTAGTATTAACGTAAAATAGTAAACTTACTTATACAAAGTAACTCAGTAAGTGCGGCAACTATTATAGATCCAAATACACTGATGCACTTTACTACCTTGACTCACTCTACTATCTTGAAACAACTTACTATAATTTTTACAACAACCTTGTATTTATAATCCAGCTTAGAATATGAGAAAATCTGTGATATCAAATTAGAATTTTTCAGGAATTTTGGGCCTATTGCAACATTATGGGTCCTCTAACTAGCATAAAAATTACCACATTAATGATGTTAGAAAAAACACGTAGATTCAAGAAGTCTTGACAGAAATGAATAAAAATCCTATAACCCAAGCGCTTTCGAAAGGTGGGCCTTTCGAAATTACCACATTAATATGTTAAAGTAAACAAACTTAATGGTGAAGAAGCTTTAGAAATTGAGAATAAACAAACAGATAGAATACTTAGTGCAGTGTGAAAATTGGAAAAAGAGATTTTGAGCATAAGTTATATAATAGTTTTAAAGATAATTAAGAATGGCTAGTAGAGATAGCTCTGGAGTAGCTTTGTGCAAATATACAAAAGCAAAAACAAGCAAGGGTAGAAGGTTTTTAATTGGAAATTACTGTAAGCTACAGATGATGTAAATGAGATCAGGGTTATTTGATGCAATAATTATTGGACATTTTAGATATATTTGTTGGGATTGAGTGGAGTCAGATAGTGAGGGGATAGAGGTTATTTGAAGTGATTTAAGGTGGTTTTCTGCACCAAGGGATCAGAGAGTCAACCATAAGGGATGGAATTTTAACTTTATTTTTAACAACTAATGGTGATATTATTACACAAATTGAAGTGGGTAGACATTTACTTTTGATAAGGTGCCACAAAAAAGATTGCTTAAGTAAACCACATCAGTAAGGGTTGGGGAAATAGTGCTTAATTAATTGTATTGTGGTTGGGTGAGGGGAAAATATAAGGTTATTGTCAGTAGAGACCATTAGTAAAGAAACCTGATAACCCATCTAGTGCTTTTGGACAGTAGACTTTCTTTCATCATGGGTAAATGACCATTGTAAACATGTTGCTAGTTATTTGGACATTGTACCAAAAGTAGACATCTCACTTTTGTAAGAATGTCACTTAAATGGTGAAATATCATTTCACGTTTATGTATGATACTTGAATAAATTAGAACATAATTAAATAAATATCATAATGCAGGGATAGTACTTCTAATTAGGTAATAAGAGTTAAACATTATGAATACAATAATAAAGAAATTTGTTTTAAAACTGAATTTTATATGATTTTCCAGAAATGATTTGAGTTAAAAGGATGAAGATCATTAACACCGGGGTCAAAGTCTATACCATATGGGGTGACTGTTTAAAATATTGATCCAGTAGGCCTCAGTTTTTGACTTAAACTCAGTTTCAATACCAATAAGAACCATGTTTTTTGTTTTCTTTTTGACGATGGAGTGCTCAGGCTGATTAAAGTGTAGAAGAATGTCAAGATCTATTTAATCTTGACAGAGGATTTGCATTATTAAACTGTTTTATAAGGTTAGTCTGAATGTAACCAACATGCTGGTGGTTGCATTTTTTGT